GGTTGAGGGTTTAGGGTTTAGGGTTTAGGGTTTAGGGTTTAGGGTTTAGGCTTTAGGCTTTAGGGTTTAGAGGGTATACTAACAGTCCTCAATTAGGGATCAGAATAGGGCTATCAAGGACTGTTAGTATAAGGGGGAACATCCCAACCGAAACCCTTATTGCAATATGGTTACTGGGCGAGCAAGGATTTCGTTCCCAGACCTCAAGCCGCAAGACACTAACGTAGGGTTAAGGGTTAAGGGTTAAGGGTTCAGAGTTAAGGGTTTAGGGTTTAGGGTTTAGGGCACCTGAACCCTGAACGGCAACCCCGTTCTTAAACGCTTCGCTGCAAAGATCTGAACTCCAGCCCGAAACTTCAATCCTAATCCTAAACCCTAAACTCTAAACCCTACACCCTAAACACTACTTATTTAAGGGGTAAAAGGAGGGACCCCTAGAAGGGGCGCCACTTCCAAGGTGTACGCGCGCGCGCTTCCAAGGTGCACGCGCCGTCTGTGTCCAAGGTGCACGCGCAACGTTGGGGACCTGCGCAGGGCCGAGTGTTCTTGCACCCTGAAGCCTCAACCGCAAACCCTTAACCCTAAGGCCCAAGCCTGAAAACCCCTGAAAGCCCTCTCCGACCCGTGCCACCCAAACGAGCGTCGGGCTTGTTTGGGTGCCAAGATCCCTGAACTTAACCTTAAACCTCAAACCCCAGACCCCAAACCAAACCTTGGACCCCAAACCCTAGACTCTAAACCCCGAAGCCTCAAGTCTGAAGCCTAGAACCCTAAATCCTAAAGCTAAAACCCTTAACCCTAACCCCTGAACCCCTAAAGCCAAAACCCTAAACACTAAACCCAAAACCCTTAAACTGTTTGAGACGATGCCAGTCAAATTCTTCCGAAAGCTTACCGAGGTCATGAATCCATCTCCACGCTGAACACTGACATCCCACGCAAGACCCATGCCCCTAAACCTTCAACCCAGGGCCCCGAACTTTACAATTCACATTCGGACCGCCTCTTGGCCTCCTGTTCTCGCGCGATGCTCTTCAGCGACATCGGCATTGCCAGCAGCAGCGGCCCTAACAATGAGCGGCCTCAGACTAAGGACTCACGGGACATTGAAGGATCTGTAACAGAGAGTTCTTCGGCTTTCAGTCACTTGCACTAACCGAAACATCCTAGCATGTGTGGGTGCCCAGAGCTGCAACCACCCGGAATTGTGTGAGTCGAGTTTGGCAATGCTAGGACTATGATGCCCAAACCTCCAACTGGGTGCTGCTGAAGCATGGGGTCGCCAGAAGCTACAGGAACCCCCTACAAACCTCACCCAAGCCCCTTTCAGGAACCGCTCCGTCTTTCAGTGCCTGGATCCTTCGCCCGCATTGGCCTCAGGATGGCTTCAAGCCTTCCGGAAGTCGGTGTTGGGCTATGGCTTCGGCATTGACCAGCGCAGCCCAGCTGCCATCGAAGCAGTGGTGGATCGCCCGGCCCCGCAAAGGGTTTAGGGTTGAGGGTCGAGGGTCCAGGGTTGGGGATTGGGGGTTGGGGGCTGGGGGCTGGGGGTTGAGGGTTTCGGGTTCAGGGTTTAGGGCTTAGGGCTCAGGAAGGGTTTTGGGTCTAGGGTTTAGGGTTTAGCGTGGGGGATGTAACGTTCCAGGGTGTTTTGAGGGTGGAGGGTGTGGCCAGGAGCATGTAGCCTTAAGGTCCCCGTGGCCAAATGGTCAAAAAGGAGGGCGAGCTTGAATGCCTGAGCTGAGCCGCAAAGGGGTTCCTGTCTGTTGAGTTTGGGCCCAAAGTATATGCTCCTGAGGCATTGCGAACCTTCAAGCCTTGCAACCTTAAACCCTGGACCCTGAAGACTACCTGGGGAACCTTGCGGTTTGGTGAATGTTTCCGTCACAAAACAATCGGCGCTCAAACACACACATCGTGTTTCCGTTTGGGTGTCCCCAGACACATATATTCTGGCCGTTTATATTCTCAGGCCCTAAGCTCCAGCGGGTCCACACTTGTTCTGCTTGTTGACCTTTTGGCTGAGCAGGCAGGCATGCCCGCAACATGAGCAGCAGGTCAGCAGCAGCAGCAGTACCAGCAGCAGGTCTAGCAGCAGCAACACCCGTAGTTTTAAAGCAATCAATGATCGCCGCATCAGTTTTAAACCAATGAATGATCGCCACCGCAGATAGAGTGGCCTGAGGACAACCTTGAGATCAGCTGCAGTCGTGCCAGCGGCTGTCGGCGCTCAGTCAGCAGGCTCGGCGGAAGACCCGACAGGCCCGTCTTCCGACAGGCCCCTCGGGACCTCTGCTGAGACCGGTCGGCAGCCGCTGTCATGGCGGAGGAAGATGCTGAGTTTAAGAAGGCCAGGCAGTGCAACTTGCAGTCTGAAAGCTCGGTTGGGGGGGTTTTAAGTCCACGGGCCCCAAGGGACACGGTTTTCCCCCTCAACTGCTTTGTCGTAGAGACGACTGTACACTTATGTTGCTCATTTTCTATGAATCCTTTAGGCGAGGGCAAGAACTTCCATACAAGAGCTCTGTCCCCTGATCAGGCATGGGAGGATTTCATCACTGACCTCGGAGCTGGCCGCTTCAACTCCGTGCGGCTGTTGGGCGCCGGTGGAATGGGCGCAGCGTTCGTCTTCCGGAGTGCGGAAGACTTCGGAGAACGCGCGCTGAAGGTGCAATTGGCACCTGCAGCCTCGGAGACGGGGCCAACCAGCGCCGAAATCCGCCAGGCCGGAGGATTCTTTCGCTAATTTGAGTTTGGTCAAAAAATATTTCCGGGGGGCAATTTCGTAACATGCGTGCCAGGGGCAGTTTAGGGATTAGGATGTACAAAATCACGGACCTGCAAGTGCCAGGAAGCTCAGTTGATGGAAGCATTGAGACACCCTAACATGGTGCAGATCTATGAGTGGGGTCGAATCAGGGGACGCTCGGCTGAAACCAGCACATATTCGGGGTGCAGGGTGAGTGTTTTCGGATATCAGGAATCTGAACACTACACTGGGGCTAGTAGGGCTGCGCGGCGAGGAATCCACTACATATCCATGGAGCTGCTGCAGTCCGACTTGTATGTCACGATCGCAGAGAGTGGCGCTTTCGGCATGGAGCGAGCGGCCTCCGTTCTGGGCCAGCTGTTGAGCGCGCTGCTGTACATCCATGGACAGGACCGATGCTGGGGTTTAGGGTTTAGGGCTTCGGGCGTAGGTTTTATTAGGGTTGTATTGTTAGACCCTGAAAACCCAAATCCCCAGGCCTTAAAGAAACCAGGCAAAGCCCTAAACTCAAAAGTCCCAGGGAATGCCGAATACACACGCCCAAGGCCTCTTTCAAACCTCAACTGTTCACCATCACATGGCCGCTAAATCAAAGAGGATCTCATGCACAGGGACGTCAAGACGCAGAATATTTTCTTGAGCGGCCATGTGGCAAAGCTGGGAGATCTTGGGCTGGTCTGTCCGAGTTGTGAGGCAGAGTAATTCGCCAATCCCGCCAAAGCCCAAAGCGTAAACCCCGTCCCGCCATGTCATCCCCTCCTCGTACTTGACTTCCCCTGTCTGCAGGGTGACAGCGTCGCTGGCACGCCAAACTATTTACCCTGGGCGATGTGGCACGCTGAAGAGCCAATGTCGCCGCGGGCTGATCAGTTCGGCGCAGCGTGTGTTTTGCGCCGTGGCTAGAACGTGTCAATCTAGCGTTTGGCCTTATGAAGCTATAGTCAGACTCAGTCCCTGTCAAGCCGACACCAAATTGAGACGTAGACCCAACTTCAGTGACCCGACGTTGCTCTTGCGTCCAGGTATGAGATGGTGGAGGCCGTGATGGCTGCGTGCACCACCGCACATGGCAGTCGCACGGCGGCCTGCTGTCATGGGCATTGGACGAGCTGTTCGGGCCTCGACTGCAGATCAAGCCAGTGGCCGCTCAGCTGTTTAGCGGCGCCCCACCAACCGAGACAGGCTCAGGGGCCGCGGCGGAGCGAGCCATCAAAAAGGCACAATGGCTCGGGGCAGCGATGAGGCTGGAGGTGCGGCCGTCATAACTCCTTCTCTCATAAACGAAGCCAACAAGCGCCGGCGTCGCCGCCGAATGGCGGCCAAGCAGCGCGTTGCAGGTCCTGCTGAGGACCAGGCGGGCCGTTATGCAATGTAAATCCTCGGCGTATTATCACACTTAGTTCGCCCGCCCCCTGCATCATTCTGAACCAGGCAGTGTTGCCTACCGTATTCGAAGATATTTTATATTTACATCCCCTGCACCAGGCAGCCTCGCCCCCGAGTCCGCGTTCAGGTCCAGCGGCAGGCGCGGCCGACGAGGCCCGCAGTGAGGGGTCCCGCTGCTGTCATCTGCCGGAGCTGCTTTCGGTGCTGGCGCAGATGGACGAAGTATTGAAGTCCTCAACCCGATTTGTAAGCCCTTAGACCAAAGTCCCGCCCCCTGAACCAGGCAGCGTCACCGCCCCCGTTGCCAGGTCCAGTGGCAGCCGCCGTTGACCAGGAGGCCCGACTTCGGTGCAGCGAGGACCAGGAGGTTCTCGGGACAAATCCAAGCCCTGAACCAAACACTCACCCAAGCCCTAAACCCTAGAAACCCTAAAAACCCTCACCGACTCGTGGCACCCAAACGAGCGCGGGGCTCGTTTGGGTGCATGATCCTGGAAGTTAGCCCTAAACCCTGCACCCTAAAGCCTAAAGCTTAAACCCTGAAGTCCAAAGCCTGAACCCTAAACCCTAAACCCTAAACCTCTCAGGACACATCCAAGCCCTGAGCCAAGCACTCAGAGTACTCCCGCTCCCTGAATCAGGCAGCGTCGGCCGCGAGTCCACTGGCAGCCAAGGCAGCCATGGCCCTCGATGAGGCCGGCAATTCCCTGACGGCGTCCCGGAAGCCGAACACGTAGGTCAATCCGGACTCGCAACCCGTGTCTCCGTCCTCATAGGCTGCCACAAAGCTTGCGGAGTCTGCACGCTGTTGGGACATGTTGACGCAGGACGGGTCGCTGACCAGGACATCGGCCTGCGGCGGTCGCACTGGCGCAGCCCCGGCTTGCAGAATGTTGGTGACCGAAAATTATTGGTTGGCGCCAGAAAATCTTCAGCAACATGGTGCTACCGAGAGGGACCTGGAAGCTTTTTCCATGGCAAACAGCGCTTCTTGTATGCGTGGGTGTTTGAAGCTCCCGTGCTATGGGACACGCCTGCACCGTACAAACAATCGCCAAGCGTGCGTTGGACCGTTTTGGAAGCCGCAGCCCCATCTCGGTCAGTGGCCGCGCCGAGTTCTTCGGAGAATGAGCTGGAGAGAGGCGTCGAGCAAAAGTGTCAGGCAATCCCCCTGCTAGGTCCGAAAGCGATTGTTGCTTGCAAAGAAATGCACCGCCCTAGCTCTCAGGCAAGGAGTGGAGCCGCGCTCCGCCTTGGTCCTCTACAACACCACGCTCAACCGCGCGGAAGGAATGCTGCATGTCCTGGACGTCCAGGAATTCGCCTCAGTCCAGGCAGCGGAGGAGTACGTCTGCAAGCAGAAATGGTACTGCGCATGCATGCCGCGCGGCAAAGGACCCATTTATGTGCTCCAAGTGCAGGCGGAAAGCTGGTTGCAACCGGTGCCCGGGACCTTGCAGACGCGAGCACTCCGTCCAGCGGCCTGCAATATCCAAACAATGCGCAGCCGCCGGCCCACGCAAAGCCTGGCCGACACAGCCTTACAGGGAGCAGCGCCGGCCATGTCCTTGTATGCTTCTTGCCAACACTTCGTGGACAGGTTATGCGTGGAGGATGTCAAGAAGCTGCAAGCAAACCTGGCTCTTCTGGATGACTGGATGGTTGCGTAATACGCACAGCGTCACGTGCTCCGGCTTGGACACGTGCGTACCGGTGATGCAGCACACGTTAGCCGCCTTGAACGCCCGGTTTGATGTGAGCGTCTCCACTCGCCACGTTTTTATTGCGGAAAAAGGACCCAGCCAGGCAGGCCTTCATCCGTGCGGCACATGGAGACCAATTTGGGTTCTTTAGCAGCTTTAGTCTTGCAAGCCCCGGCTTTTGCCCCTATCTGCCTGCGTCACAGGATATTGGGGAAGTCATGGCGGAGAGATTCGTGGAGCTGACGCTGACGCCTCTATGCACGAAAAAAACTCAAAAAACCCTAAAAAACCCTAAAAAACCTTAAACCCAAAACCCTAAACCCAAAACCCTAAACCCTAAACCCTAAAAAACCCTAAAAAACCCTAAGCCCTAACAAGCCCTAACAAACCCTAAACCCTAAACCCTAAACTCTAAACCCTAAACCCTAAACCCTAAATCGTGGCACCCAGGGGTGGCAAGATCCTTGAAATAAACCCGAAGTCGTGGCACCCAAACGAGCGTGGGGCTCGTTTGGGTGGCAAGATCCTTGAAATTAACCCTCAACCCAGCCACTTCCAAGCTGCACGCGGCACTTCCCGGCACTTCCAAGCTGCACGCTGCACTTCCAAGCTGCACGCGCTCTGAAAGCCCTGGGCAGCCACCCATTTCGAAGTTTCCGGAATCCGAAAGCTTCAAAATACGTGGTACAGAAAACAAGACGTGTGTGCGGCCTGGACGCGGGAAAGACCGTGATTTGCTGTGTGCGCCTTGGACGCGGACATGCGTGCGCCTTGAACGGTCCGGCCCCTAGAAGGGACGCTTAATCTTATTCCCCTATATACCCCCTCTGTACACAGCTTACATAGTCCCTATATACCTGAGTAGCCCCCAAATAATCCCCAAAAAACCCTAAGGTCCCTTATAAGGGCCCCCTCCTTTAGTCCCTTGACGATTCCCGTATGTGGTCCCTACATTACTCGACTAGGTGACCCCCCCGAAGCCCTATTCTAATTACTCAGGCCCCTATATCACATTGCCCAAAGCCCGACAGTCGCGTAATATCAGAACCTCGGAGAAAATTTAGGGTTTTAGGGTTTAAGCAACTCTCAGAGCTAAAACCCTAACCCCTAACCCCTAAGCCCTAACCCCTAACCCCCTAAACCCTAAACCCTAAACCCTAAACGCAGGCACCGGCAAGTCATCTCTGCGTCCTGGGACAAGACGCTGCGCGGATGGGACCCCAGCTGCTCGGAGGAGAGTTTAGGGTTTAGGGTTTAGGGTTTAGGGTATAGGGTTTGCCACTCGACGAAAAGGGGTTTTGGCTTTAGGGTTTAGAGTATAGGGTTTAGGGTTTAGGGTTCCAGGATTTAGTTGTTAGAGTCGGGTTGCGCTATGTTGCGGTTCAGGTTTGGGTACATGAGACATCCCCGTACAAGGGGGGGAAATCTGGGAGTCTCATAACTCTTTCAGTACATGCAGCGTGGACACTTGAGCGTCTGCACGAATTCTTATCCGGTGATCAACATCTTGAGCCAAACATTTGTCGTGATTTCAATCGTCACTTGTGTTATGCAGCGATAGAACGAGTTGTTCTTCGTCCGCGGAACGGACAAGGCGGCCATCAAAAGCTGCTGCTTTTCCTTCGCAATCCAAGCCGCTCTTTCCCACTTTACGTTACGTAAACCCTAACCCGAAACCCCCAACCCCTAAACCCCAAACCCCAAGCCCCGAACCCCACACCCCACACCCCAAACCCCACACCCCAAGCCCTAAATCCCCAACCCCAACCCCCCCGACTTCAAGGGATTAAGACTCGAACCCCGAAGGCAGTACCCCTATAACCCTGAACCCGAAACCCTACACCCCTATATGATTTCCCTTACTATACTCCTCATGGCCCTCATATTCTCTAATAAGGGTCCCCAAACCCGAGGGTACAAGCGTAGGAGTCCAAGGTACAGTAGAGTCCCCCGGAGTTCCAGCTTGCCCAGGAAACCCTAAACCCTAAACCCTAAACCCTAAACCCTAAACCCTAAACCCTAAACCCTAAACCCTAAACCCTAAACCCCAAAGCCCCCAGATGGCCCAAGGAAAGCCACGCGAGGCGGTGGCCACCGTCCACCTGGGTGCCAAAGCCTTCAGCATGGAGACCAGGTCGCAGTTTGACTACCCCCTGGGGTAGAGGGTTTAGGGTTTAGGGTTTAGGGTTTAGGCCTTAGGGTTTAGGGTGTAGGGTTTAGGGTTATAACACCCAAGAGGATATTAACAATATATTTTTTTATTGAGGTTCTAAGGGGAGTATAATCTAGGGGTTTAAGGCTTTAGGGTTTTCTTGTGGGGGGGGGGGGGGGTTTAGGTGGTCTAGGGGTCAGGGCTTTAGGAGTTGGGGTGTTTTTAGGGGATTCAGGGATCATTTTCTTTCTTATTACTTGCTTTTTTTTTGGGGGGGGGGGGGGATTCAGGTCCTCAGTGTCTCGGATTAGAGGTGGCAGTTTTAGGAGTGTGTAGGGTTTGGGGGCTTCTTTTGGTTTGGCACTACCACTTGTAGCCAAACCTTTGTAAGGTAACCCCACCTGAGACCCTAAACCCTAAACCCTAAACCCTAAACCCTAAGCCCCAAGCCCTAAGCCCTAAACCCTAAACCCTAAACCCTAAACCCTAAACCCTAAACCACTTCCTTCCAGTCCAGGACATCAAGGGCAACAAAGTTCTTGTCGGCGCATCCGACCGTTGCCTCCACGCTGGACGCTGAGATTTCGAGCCTCCTCAAGGTTTAGGTTTTAGGGTTTAGGGTTTAGGGTTTAGGGTTTAGGGTTTAGGGTTTAAGGTTTAGGGTTAGGGTTTAGGGTTTCGGGTTTAAGGAAATCCCCAACTCTTAACATCCCCAAGGCTCCAAACCGCCCAAGCCGCCCAAGCCGCCCAGACCCCCCTACCCCCAAACCGCCCAAACCCCTAAACCCTAAACCCCAAAACGCACAAACCCCAAACCCAAAACCCTATACTAAACCCTAAAACCCCTAAACCCTAAATCTAAGCCCTAAACCCCCCCCCCCAAACCCGAAATAAATCTTGAACCCTGAACCCCTAAACTCTACATCCTAAACTCTAAACCCCAAACCCCGGAGCTAGAAGCCTTAAACCCAAAACCCGAGGGTTGCTTTTCAGGAGGGTTTAAGGTTAGGGGTTTAGGGTTTAGGGTTTAGGGGGTTTAGGACTTATAGGGTTTAGGGTTTAGGGTTTTTTGGGTTTAGGACTTATAGGGTTTAGGGCTTAGGGTTTAGGGTTTAGGGTTTTTTGGGTTTAGGACTTATAGGGTTTAGGGCTTAGGGTTTAGGGTTTAGGGTTTAGGGTTTAGGGTTTAGGGATGCAGGGGTCTCAATCGGGGCTCGGGTTCATAGGGCCTTTCGCGGGTTTGGGGTTCAGGGTGCCGGCCTTAGGGGTTTGGAGTATGGGGTTTGGGGGTTTAGGGTTTAGGGCCAGGTTTTAGAGTTTGGGGTTTAAGTGTTAAGGTTAGCTGTGGCGGGCCTGGGTCTTATGCAGGGTTTCGGGTTTTTGCAAGCTTCCTTAAACACCTATGAGTCCCCCTAGAACAAACCCCTATGATCCCATAGAACCCCGAAACTTGCAACCCTAAACCCTAAACCCTAAACCCTAAACCCTAAACCCTAAACCCTAAACCCTAAACCCTAAACCCTAAACCCTAAACCCTAAACCCTAAACCCTAAACCCTAAACCCTAAACCCTAAACCCTAAACCCCAAACCCTTCTAAACCCCCACAAACCCCTGCAATCGCAGCGGGCAAGGCCTTCGACCTTCGAAGCCTCTCGCAGCCCGTGGAGAAGCAGGCCCGGGGTCTCAAACCGAAAAAGCCCTAAACCCTTTTAAGGGTTTAGGGTTTAGGGTTAGGGTTTAGGGTTTAGGGTTTAGGGTTTAGGGTTTAGGGTTTAGGGTTTAGGGTTTAGGGTTTAGGGTTTAGGTGTTTAGGGGTTTAGGGGTTTAGGGTTTAGGGTTTAGGGTTTAGGGTTTAGGGTTTAGGGTTTAGGGTTTAGGGTTTAGGGTTTAGGGTTCAGGGTTCAGGGTTTAGGGTTCAGGGTTTAGGGTTTAGGGTTGATGCCCCACATTCAGGTCCAGGCTTCGGGTGTATCCATTGTTGCCTCTTGCTTCAGGCTTACAGGGTTGCAGGGTTAGAGGGTTATGGGGTTACAGAATTGTGTGGTTGGAGGCTCTGGGGTCTAGGGACCTTCAGAACAATTTGCGCTCGCCCTAAACCCTAAACCCTAAACCCTAAACCCTAAACCCCAAACCTTAAACCCTAAACCCAAAACCCTAAACCCCTAAACCCCTAAACCCCAAAACCCTAAACCCCTAAACCCTAAACCGAGCCCGGCAGCCAGGAAAGCCTGCTGAAGGTGCAGCTCCGGTGCGTCAAGACGCTCTGTCTGCGTTTGGTGGTTGCTCTAAACCCAAAACCCAAAACCCAAAACTTAAATCCCTAAACCCTTAACCCAAAACCCTAAACCCTAAACCCTGAACCCTGAACCCTGAACCCTAAGCCCTAAACCCTGAACCCTAAACCCTTCAGTGCTTCGGGGGTGTTATATTAAGGGTGGCATGGGCAGTTTTGGTTTTGGGGGTTCTTTGAAATTGGGGTCTCCTTGTTTTTTTTTTTTTTTTCTTTTGGGGGGGGGGGGGGGGTTAGGGTTTAGGGCTAGACTTTTGTAAGTTTTTGTAGTCACTCTTTTTGATGAGTGCCTAGTAGGGACATGTCGTGGGGGCGCTCTATCTGGAACGACCTGCTGTGGTAGCTCTTGCGGCGACGCAGAACTTCCTAAATCCTGCGCCCTCAACGCCCTCAACACCCTTAACAGTCCCAGCATTCCCCGAACCCTAAACCCTAAACCCTAAACCCTAAACCCTAAACCCTAAACCCTAAACCCTAAACCCTAAACCCTAAACCCTAAACCCTAAACCCTAAACCCTAAACCCTAAACCCTAAACCCCCTTTGCCCAGTTCTCTAACTTCTGATGCCTGTTTTTTGAGGTTTCTAATTGCAACTCAGGCTCCCGTGATTCGGGACCCAATAAAACGTTTAGGGTTAGCTTACAGCCTAAACCCGAAACCCTAAACCCGAAACCCTAAACCCTAAACCCTAAACCCTAAACCCTAAACCCGAAACCCTAAACCCTAATTATCCCCCAAAACCGAGACCCTACTCCCAAAAGGGCTTAGACTCCTCCCAAGATCCAAGGATCGGACCGGACGAGCACCACGCCGCCGTCGGCAGCGACGAGGGGCGCGTCGCGTTCCTCCGAGATAATCCGCGAACGAAGCCCTAGCCAAAACCCCTAAACCCTACGTAAACTCTAAACCCTAAACCTTGAACCTTAAACCCTAAACCCAAACTTTTTGGGGCTTAGGGTTTCGGGTTGGGGAGTGGGGTCCCTCAACTGTAAAACCCTAAACCCTAAACCCTAAACCCTAAACCCCAAACCCCAAACCCCAAACCCCAAACCCCAAACCCCAAACCCCAAACCCTAAACCCCCAAGCTCCTAAACCCTAAACCCTAAACCCTAAACCCTAAACCCTAAACCCTAAACCCTAAACCCTAAACCCTAAACCCTAAACCCTAAACCCTAAACCCTAAACCCTGGCCAGCAGCTAAGCCGAGGCTCGAGCCCCTGGGCCGTAGCCGACCTGCGGAGGCCTCCGTCCGATACGCCCCGCGGCCTGTGCATCGTTTAGGGTTTAGGGTTTAGGGTTTAGGGTTTAGGGTTTAGGGGTTTAGGGGTTTAGGGGTTTAGGGGTTTAGGGGTTTAGGGTTTAGGGGTTCGGGGGTTTAGGGGTTTAGGTTTTTGGGGTTTGGGGGTTCAGGGTTTAGGGCTTGGGGTTTAGGAGTTTGGGGGTTTAGGGTTTAGGGTCATTAGGGATGAGGGTTCAGGGGTTTAGGGTTTGGGGCTTGGGGCCTGGGGGTTTAGGGTTTTGCGGTTTAGGGTCCAGGGTTCAGGGGTTTGCGGTATAGCATACGTATTTCAGCAGCACTATGCCCGACATATTTGTCCAAGTTGTTGCGGGGATGCCTTCCAATCACGCGGACCAAGTCTTGCATAGGAATCGGGAAGTTTGAACCCACTTTCCCAAGATTCCATGGGTGGTGCAACGCGATGCCGGATGCGACGCGAGCCTTCCGGACAGCACGAAACTACATCGTGCCGGACCCCACGGCTCCATTCGGCTTCAGAGGCCGCCGAACTCCAACGTGAGCGCGGACCTTAAACCCTAAACCCTAATTAAACCCTGCTTCAAAGCCTCCTGAAACTCCAAAACCCGTCAAGAATCCCAAGCCCCGGAATTTTTGTGAAGCACCCCTAGACCCTGAGTTGTGAAATTCAGAGGGTTTAGGGTTTAGGGTTTCGGGGTAGGGTTTAGGGTTTAGGGTTTAGGGTTTAGGGTTTAGGGTTTAGGGTTTAGGGTTTAGGGTTTAGGGTTTAGGGTTTAGGGTTTAGGGTTTAGGGGCCCCAGGCCTTCAAGTGCCATCGCTCCAAGTCTTCGGGGAAAGAGCTGGCGCACCAGGCGGCTTGGACTTCTTTGGCCTTTTTCCAGGGTTTCAGGGTTTAGGGTTTAGGGTTTAGGGTTTAGGGTTTAGGGTTTAGGGTTTAGGGTTTAGGGTTTAGGGTTTAGGGCTAGGTTTAGGGTTTAGGGGGTTTCAGGGTTTGGGGGTTCTAGGTTGGGATGTTGCCCCTTCTGCTACCCGCCCTTGACCGGGATTGAAGGGTTTAGGGTTTAGGGTTTAGGGTTTAGGGTTTAGGGTTTAGGGTTTAGGGTTTAGGGTTTAGGGTTTAGTGCGGGTTTATTGTTTCGGGCTTGGGGTGTACTCAGTGTGGGTTTTAGAGTTCAGACAGGGACGCTGTGGACGCTTTTTTAGTGACCCTGGAGTTTATGTAGGGTTTGGGTTTAGGGTGTAGGGTGTAGGGTGTAGGGTTTAGAGTTCAGGGTTCAGGGTTTCGAGTTTATTGTTTGGGGTTTGGGTTGGACACCTGGAGACCATGGCACCCTTGACCCCAAACCCTGGACCCTGAACCCTACACACCTCAACCCCCCCGACCCCCCCCCCCCCCCCTCGCCCCATAAAGTTCCCTGAAATGCCCCGCACCCTGCCCCTAAACCCCTAAACCCCTAAACCCTAAACCCTAAACCCTAAACCCTAAACCCTAAACCCTAAACCCTAAACCCTAAACCCTAAACCCTAAACCCCAAACCCTAAACCCTAAACCATTGAGCCTGAAAGCTTCAACCTCGAAGCTAAGGTGAATGCAATCGCGTTCCACCCCACCTATGCCACCTTCGCCACCGGAGGCGGGAACTGAAGTCCTAAACTACAGCCCCAAACCCTAACCAGGGTGTGGGATTTAGGGTTTAGGGTTTAGGGTTTGGGGTTTAGGGTTTTGCGTAACTTAAGCCGCAGCCGAGGGCTATGTTCGAGATGGACGAGCCACAGACCCTACTTTCTCATCATTTTATGATCCTATAGTAGCCCTAAACCCTAAACCCTAAACCCCAAAACCTGATTCAACGAGGCGGCGATGGTTCTGCCTGCACTTGGGACGGCTTCGCCCGGAAGCGATTGGCCAAATTGGGTATCCTGGCCTTTGGAATGAAGCAACCAACGGTTTTCGGGTTTAGGGTGTAGGGTTTAGGGTTTAGGGTTTAGGGAGGGTTTAGGGTTTAGGGTTTAGGGTTTAGGGTTTAGGGTTTAGGGTTTAGGGTTTAGGGTTTAGGGTTTAGGGTTTAGCCATTTAGGGTTTTTAGGGTTAGGGGGTTTCAGGGCTTATGGCTTCGGATGCAATAGGCCCAAAACTGTCAACCCTGTCCGCAATGCATCAGGCAGCTGAGCTGAATGTGAGCCCCCAAACCCTAAACCCTAAACCCTAAACCCTAAACCCTAAACCCTAAACCCTAAACCCTAAACCCCAAGCCCCAAACCCTGAACACTAAGCCCTCAACCAGCGGAGGCCCCTTCCCCACCGCCGTCTCCAGCCTCGACTTCTCGGCGGACGGCGCCTTGCTGGCGGTCGCCGCGCCTTGGCTTTCGTGTCGGCTAGGGTTTAGGGTTATGGGTTTAGGGTTTAGGGTTTAGGTTTGAGGGTTGAGGGTTTAGGGTTTAGGTTTTAGGGTTTAGGGCTTAGGGCTTAGGGTTTATTGGGTCTATTGGGTCTATTGGGTCTATAGGGTTTATTGGGTTTATATTGGGTTTATTGGGTTTATGGGGTTTATTGGGCTTATTGGGTTTATTGGGTTTATTGGGTTTATGGGGTTTATTGGGTTTATTGGGTTTATTGGGTTTATTGGGTTTATTGGGTTTAGGTTTAGGGTTTAGGGTTTAGGGTTTAGGGTTTAGAGTTTAGGGTTTAGGGTTTTGGGTTAAGGGGTTGAAAGGCCTAAGGCCTACAGCCCTACACCCTAAGGCCCCCAAACCTCCGAAAAGATGGGTTGGTGATGGAGTTTTTCCGTCTGCAGCTGCCCCAAACCCCAAACCCCAAACCCCAAGCCCCAAAACCCAAACCCCAAACCCCAAACCCCGAACCCCAAACCACAAACCCTAAACCCTAAACCCCAAACCCCAAACCCTAAACCCTAAACCCCAAACCCTAAACCCTAAACCCTAAACCCTAAACTCCCCGAGGTCTCCTATGCCTTCGAAGATGGAGAGCGCTGTCCTCCCCCGGCCTCCCTTGCAAGAAGTGGGGCTTAGGGTTTAGGGTTTAGGGTTTGGGGGTTCAGGTCCTTGGCCCTAAAGCCTAAACCCTAAACCCCAAACCCTAAACCCCACACGCCAAACCCTCTGAGCACGGGTTTAGGGTTTGAAACGGTTTAGGGCTTAGGGCCCGAATACACGGGCCTCAATAATTAAGCTAGGTTTTTTTGGGGGGTTATTCTCGTATATATACAGGGATCGTAAGGGAAGACTAAACCCTAGACCCTAACCCTAAACCCCAAGCCAGAACCCTAAACCCCAAACCCTAAACCCAAAACTCTAAACCCTAAACCCCAAACCCTAAACCCTAAACCCCAAGCCCTCAACCCTAAAACACCGACCCCTAAATTCAGGGGTCCTGGCCGTCACCGACCCCTAAGTTCAGGGGTCCTGGCCGTCTTGGCCGCAGAGCCGCTTGCGTTCGTTTGGGGCTTGAAAGGGTTTAGGTTGAGGGTTTAGCTTTTAGGGTTTAGGTTTAGGGTTTAGGGTTTAGGGTTTAGGGTTTAGGGTTTAGGGTTTAGGGTTTAGGGTTTAGGGTTTAGGGTTTAGGGTTTAGGGTTTAGGGTTTAGGGTTCAAGGACTAATGTTTAGGGTTTAGGGTTTAAGGTTTAGGGTTTAGGGTTCAGAATGTGTGCTTGCAACTTTGGGGTGTGCTGCAGCCCGAAAAGCCCCAAACCCCAAACCTTGCACCCTACACCCAAGCCCCCAAGCCCCCAGACCCCAAACCACATGCCCTAAACCTAAACCCGAAACCCGAAACCCTGAACCCTAAGCCGCAAACCCGAAGCCCTAAACCCGAAACCCTAAACCCGAACTGAGAGTTCGCATCTGAGACCTCCCGAGGAAGCCTGCGAACCAGAAACCTCGGTTTAGGGATTAGCGTTTAGTTTAGGGTTTCGGATTTAGGGCCACAGAACCCAAACCTCAACACCTAAAACAGCCTCATGCCCCTAAATCCTCAACCCCCGAAAGCTCAACTCCTGAAAACGCTCAGAGTTTGTAGCCCTCAATGCCCTCAACCCCCCAACCCTAACTCAAGACCAACAACTCTCAAAGCTTTAAAGTCTTCACGTCCTGACAAGCCAGCTTGACTCCATCTCAGATCCCCGAGCTAGGCTTGGGAGCTTTCTGGGTTCAGGATTTAGGGTTTAGAGTTTAGGGAGGTTTCGGATTCAGGGGTTCTTCCAGAGGTAGACCTGCAGAGAAACAGGGCCTGCAAGCCTAAACCCGACACCGTCAACCCTAAACCCTACACCCTCAACCCTAGCAGCTCTAAACACAAACAAGATTCCGTCCCCCCAAACCCTCAACCCTCATCCCTCATCCCTCAACCCTCAACCCTCAACCCTAAACCCTAAACCCTCAACCTAAACCCTAACCCTAAACCCGACACCCTAAACCCTAAACCCTAAACCCTAAACCCTAAACCCTAAGCCCTAAGCCCTAAGCCCTAAGCCCTAACCCCAAACCCGAAACCCTAAACCCTAAACCCTAAACCCTAAACCCTAAAGCCCTACACCCTAAACCCTAAACCCTGTGAAAGCAGAGCTTCTTTCTTGTATAGTCCAGTAAAACCAGAAGCGCAACAGCTATGCATCCGACCTTGACCGTTAACTGAATGGCTCAAGCGAGCAAAACAACTATGTGCGCCAGTGCGGGGAAGCTTTGCATTTCCGCACTGGTAGCGGAGCTACGGCTCCTGGGCCTACGGGCCAAGCCCACGCGCTTCTGCGCCTCCGCGTCAGTAGGCCATGGCGGCTTTGCTGGAGTTGCTGCGCTGGCCCAACTTCACTCATGATGATGAGGTTGGCCAGGGCACTGAGGGGAAGTTTGGGATCCCCAGATTCAATGGTGAGCCGACCAGACTCGCCGAGTATGCTTTTAGAGTTCGAGCCAGGATTGCCAAGGAGAAGACGATGAGCAAGGAAGAGAAGGCCAAGCTTGGGCCTCTTGGGCTGCGCCTCGTTGAGGGGATCTCCGGAACGGCTTTGCGCATGGTGCAGACCATGGAGATGACCGAACTGGAGAAAGAGGACGGCCCCGACAAATTGCTGGAGACCTTCGAGAAGATCCTCAGACCCAAGCGGCTTCAGCAGGCAAGAGAGCTTTATGCTGCTGGTGCCACTTCCCATGGCATTCTCTCCCGGCAACCTGGCGAGCCCGTATCCACCTTTGTTCTCAGAAGGCGCACGTGGTACCGCTGTCTCACGGACTGCAGCAATGAGATGCGCCTTCCGGACATGGTGTTGGCTGAGCAACTGCTGGCTTCCTCGAATATCTCGGCCGACCATCAGCTGCTCATCCGGACGGCGATCAAGGGCGAGATCACCTTTGATGCTGTGGCCGACGAACTGGTGGCTCAACACGGCCGGATCCATGAGAGGGAGCGACGCACGCCAGCGCCGCACAAAGGAATAGGACACAAGGGCTCTGGAACGCGCTCCTGGGCGACCTCCTCTACCCGATCCTGGCGGCCCTCTAGCTACATGGCCGAGACTGAGGACACGACGGAGTACAACGAGCACCACGACTTCCCAGAGGAGGACATGTATGAGGGGTACATCGCCGAGGAGGAGCTGGACTTCGAGGAGGAGCAGATTGGCTATCTCGTCGAGGACGGGGTGGATTTGCTGGACCCTGACACTGCCGAGTATGCAGCCGACCTTATGCAGATTGAGCAAGAAGCGCACTTCGCGCGCAAGGGTGCTTCGAAGAAGGGTGGCGGCTTCCGAGGCCCGCCCACGCGGCAATTTGCCGTCACTGGCTCACTCAGCCTGGAAGAGAGAAGGAGGAAGGTGGCGGACCTGAAGGCCCGCGCCACTTGCCGCCGCTGCGGACAACGCGGCCATTGGCAAGAAGATCCGCATTGCCCTCAGACCAAAGGCGCTGGCCGCTCAGGAAAGGCGCGACCAGGATCCTCGACGACATCCCCGCCTAGCTCTACTACAAGTTCGCTGTCGCATGGCAAGGGCAATGCTGGGAAAACTGGCAAGCCTCGTCCCGTGTACTTTGCCATCCGCGAGGACGAGCCGCACCGGCGCACCGCCAACTTGGCCTATCGGACACCAGGCCTCAACGACTATCGGGCTGTGCCACCGCCGCGTGATCTGCGCGGCAATGGCGTCATTGACCTTGAGAGCGACGGCAACGACCACAGCCCAACCGAGTCCTCGTGGAGCTTGGTGTCTGCAGAGTTGCAACCGCGATGGCTTCCGGATGCCACGCCGGCACCTACGGCGAATGACCTCGAGGATGCAATGCTGCAGCAAGCCCTTAGTGCAATGGAAGTGGACACTCCTATTCATGCGATCGGGGGGCCAGCCGCTTCAAGGATGTCGGCGACGACAACGAGAGCATCGCCGACCTCCTCGACCCCTACCATGTCTCAGCAGTCACAGCCCTCGCCGTCGCGAACGGGGTGCCAGCACCTAAAGACCACCACTAAGGGCAGCAATGCGCACTATCGCCAAATGAAATGTCTTGACTGCGGGGCCTTGCTTGAGCGGACGAAGATCGAGCCGACGACGTCCACTGCATCGACTACCGCCATGCCAAAGCCTGGCTGTGCACATCACCGGGTCTCTTGGCGAGGAACGAATGCTTTCTCTTGGAAGCGCACCTGCTTGGACTGTGGTTTCCAGGAGAGCGGCCCGAGCAGTACGAGACCAGCGCCAGCAGCAGGCGCCCCGGGTCCTGGAAGGACACCGCAGCAGGAGAGCCGAGGTTTGTCATCGTTGGACGAGGAGACCTATCTGACACGAGCAGAGGCGGAGCGTGCCGTGGCAACCTTCCAGGAGGCTGTGCACCAACGGCTTCAACACGTCGGAACCGAGAGCTACATCAAGGGAAGCTCTTTGCGAGAATCCTTGAGGCTGATCCTGCAGATGGTGACCGTCTTCAACGACCCGCTGCCAACAGAGCCACAACCTGTACCGCAACATGACGCTGAGCTTGGACGATTGGAGACCCTCCGCGATCGTGCCTCTGCTCTGGCCACCGAGGGGAAGTACAAGAACGAGCCCGTCTACCATGCCTACCAGGACATCGGCTACCGCAATTGGGTGCAAGCGAACATCGACGACCACAGCGGCCGAGGGATGAAGCAACTCAAGCTGCTCTTCGTGGAAATCGCCCAGCACGAGACTCACCGTGGCCCCCTCTTCAAGGAGCCAGTTCGACGAGCTTTTATGGCCCTTAATGATGTCGACCTGGAAGGGCCCACGGGATCGGAAGGTGCTTTGGTCTGTGTGCTGGACACAGGTTGCAACACTACGTGTCATGGCAGCCGATGGTTGCAGCGCTACCTGGAGCTCACCAAGCAGGAGGCCCCTGATCTTCTGCCGGACACTGGTGGGGGATTTCGCGGCATTGGAGGTCTGGTCCAGACCTCTGGGGCCCGCGAGCTGGACTTGTGCCTGGAGCTTGCCAATGGAGGATATGCCAACGGGAGCCTACGGAGCGTGGAGATAGAGGACAGTGATGCGCCGCTGCTCGTGAGTTTGGAGGCACAGCGGAGGTTGGGCCTGGTTCTTGATCTGAGTCGCGAGGTGGCCCATTCTCAGCTTCTTGGTCATGACCTTCGACTTGTGCACCATAATGGGTTATTTGGCCTGCGGCTCCTGCCGGGGAACTTCGCCTACTACTTCGACATGCTCAACAATGACCGGGACAGCCTGGATGACGAAGACCTTGACCGGGATGACCCGGAGGGCGACGTCGAGCCCAACGGCGACTTCACCAAGGACAGCGACCTCACCAAGGACACCGACTTCACCAAGGACGGCGACTTCACCAAGGACAGCGACCTCACCAAGGACATCGACTTCACCAAGGACGGCGACTTCACCAAGGACAGCGGCTTCACCAAGGACATCGACTTCACCAAGGACATCGACTTCACCAAGGACGGCGACTTCACCAAGGACAGCGACCTCACCAAGGACATCGACTTCACCAAGGACATCGACTTCACCAAGGGCATCGACTTCACCAAGGACGGCGGCTTCACCAAGGACATCGACTTCACCAAGGACATCGGCTTCACCAAGGACATCGACTTCACCAAGGACATCGACTTGACCAAGGACGGCGGCTTCACCAAGGACATCGACTTCACCAAGGACATCGGCTTCACCAAGGACATCGACTTCACCAAGGACACCGACTTCACCAAGGACGGCGACTTCACCAAGGACAGCGACCTCACCAAGGACATCGACTTCACCAAGGACATCGACTTCACCAAGGGCATCGACTTCACCAAGGACGGCGGCTTCACCAAGGACATCGACTTCACCAAGGACGGCGGCTTCACCAAGGACATCGACTTCACCAAGGACATCGACTTCACCAAGGACGGCGGCTTCACCAAGGACATCGACTTCACCAAGGACATCGACTTCACCAAGGACATCGACTTCACCAAGGACGGCGACTTCACCAAGGACGGCGACTTCACCAAGGACATCGGCTTCACCAAGGACAGCGACTTCACCAAGGACGGCGACTTCACCAAGGAAGGCGACTACACCAAGGACAGCGACGACATCAAGGACATCGTGGGCACCGAACCGGCTGTTGGTTATTTGGCCTTTGACAAGATGAAGACCCATGCCATGAACAAGGGCCAGGCGATGAAGCACAAAGAGCAGATCCTTGGGGTCAAGAGCCAAGATCGACTTTTGTGGAACCATGTGTGTCCCTACAGCTCACGCCGGCGTCCATGCCTTCCCCGAGGATGTGGAACCTTTCTTCTGGAAATTTTCGGCTGTGCAGTGCTCACTGGCATCGCCCACCAACACTACGGCTATCCGGTCTCCACTCCCTTGGGAACCGGGCACCACAACCGCATTGACTTGACGACCGAGACTGGGCGTGAGCAAGCCAGCCTGGTCATCGAGAGGGATGATCCTTACCTTGTGGCATTCTCGCCTTCGAGTACTATGTGGTCTGGCTGGCAGCGTGTGAACGCCGAGCGCAACGAGAACAGCAAGGAGGCCACCCAGGCCGCGAGGAGAGTGTGGATGCCCATTGTCCGGTGGATGAAGGAGACCATTGTGGAACGACTGCGTCGTGGAAGACAGGTCTTGCTCATGAACCCAGCCGGATCTGATCTTTGGAACACTTGGGACCTGCAAGAGCTTCTTTGTCAAGCTTCCACCCGAGAAGCAGCCACCGCCGAGCGTCTGGAGAAACTGTCTTTTGACTCCTGTGCTTTTGGGCTGCAGGACCCCTTCTCTGACAAGTACCACCGCAAGCCTATGAGTGTGCTGACTGCTTCGCCTGCCCTCAAGGAGATGCTTCGTCAACATGGACTATGCCCTCGAGACCATGCTCACAGCTATCTAGCTGGAAGGACAAAATGCCAGAACACCGCCGGATGGACAGTGGAGCTATGCACGGCTGTCATGGATGCGCACCTCAGGGACTTAGATGGCATCTTGGTCCGTGCAGCGTTCCCGGCCGAGGCTATGGAGGAGGACGCGGCCGAGCCCCTGGATGATGACACCGCGCCCCTCACCTTGGACGAGATCTACGGTGACGAGGACCTTGCCAGCTTCTTGCCTCAGGCGAAACAGGTCGATGAGCAAGCTCTTCTCGATGAAGAAACGCCCAAGCCTGAGATCGAGCAGGACGAAGGACAGCCGCTTCAGGAGATGAGAGCAAGGTGGCGTCAACTGCCACAGTCGACACGGATTGCGGTGAGGAGGCTGCACACTATGACGGGTCATGCCTCGGTGACCTCGATGCAACGCCTTCTTCGAACTGCTGGTGGCGACCCCGATGTGATAAAGGCCTTGCCCTACTTCCACTGTCCTGCTTGCGCAGCTCGGCGACGACCTGCCCAACAACCTGCCACAAGGATGCCCAGCGAATACCGCTTTAACGTAGAGGTGGCGCTTGACTGCTTCGAGATCCGAGACGTAAACCGCCACCGTTACACCGTTCTCTCGGCTGTTTGCATGGGCACGCTCTACCACACTGCCATGGTGGTTTCTCCAAATGGTGGCATGCCCTCCTCGAAGAGATGCTTGGACGCCTTCCGGACCATGTGGCTGGACTGGGCTGGTCCGCCGAGACGCCTGGTACTTGACCGTGGTGTCCACAACCGAGGGATTTTCTCTGAAACCATCAATGCCATGCACATCGAGCTCAGGTACATTGGTGTCGAAGCGCCCTACCAGCTCGGACGTGGGGAGCGCCAAGGGGGAATATTGAAGCAAATTCTTCAGCATGTGATCGAAGCCCGCCAAGTGGACTCCCTTCGCGCGCTTGAGATGTTGATCCCGGAGGCTACTTTTGTCAAGAACAATAGAGTCCATCATGGAGGCTTTACTCCAGCTCAGTGGACGTTAGGCCGCATGCCTTTGGAAGTTGATTCCTTGGTTGCTGAAGAAGCCGAGGGACGAGCTGGAGTACACGAGGAAGCCCTGAATCCCGAGACCGAGTTCGGGAAGCAGTTGCAATTTCGCATGGCCGCCAAGGAGGCTTTCAGCTATGTTGATGGGGCTCAGCGAGTCCGAGCGGCAATGCTTCGAAAAATGACGCCCCAAAGGGGGCCCTTTGCGCCCGGCGACTTGGTCTGCTTCTACCGCAAGACTGGAGGTGGAGCTACCAAGGGACGCTGGATGGGGCCGGCTCGTGTGCTTGGACTTGAAGGGCGAGGTTTGGCTTGGCTCATTCACGGCGGCATTCCTATTACGGCCAGTGTTGAGTCTCTTCGTTTTGCCACAGGAGGCGAAATTGCTGCTAAGCGGAACCTGGAGCTGAGACCTTCCAGGAAGCGACGCCGTGAACTTGTGGAGCCTGACGAGGAGTTCGAGTACCCCTTTGGAGACGATCTGGTGGGATCACCCACGGCGCAAGGCGGCGGCGGGGAGCCTCAACAGATTCCCTTCTTTGACAATGAGGACCCAGACTTGGAGGAGTACTTGCCCAGTCCTTCAGCAGAGCCGACCATTGAAAGTCCACCGCCCGTCCTGGGGCCACCGCCTGGACTTCCGCCGCCCGCAGGCGACATTGGCGCGCAACAGCTTCCTCCAGTACCCGAAGAAAGTGACTCAGACCTGGACGTGCCCACTACCAGTGGAGAACCTGAAGAGGAACTGCTACCGCCGAGTGGTCCAGCCACGGCGCCGCCAAGTCGACGGTCTTCGGACACACAGCCAGCAGCTGATGCTCAAAGCGCCTCTACACGGACTACCAACACACAGCCGACGACTTCTACCCCACTGGAAAGCTTCGCGCAGGGCACTTTGCAACGTGCTCTTCGTCGATCACCGGATGCTCTTGATGGGATGCCCAACGCAGCTCGCAGCCTTCAACAGCATGATGCGGATAGGTCGCGTTCACCAGCTCCCTTGACACGTGGAGCACCCAGTGAGAGATCCGCCTTTGTCGGGTTCCTTGCCAGACGCACCAAGGCCAAGACGAACGCTGCCAGGGCAAAGGAGCTCCACCTCAACAAGTCCACCCCGGAACGAAAGCAGAAGATGCTGGCGGCGCGCGCCAAGGAGTGGATGAACTGGACAAGCTTCGAAGCCACAACAGTGCTTCCCCCAGCTGAAGCGGCCAAGTTCCTGAAGGAGCACCCCGAGGTGGAGGTGATACCCACGCGCTGGGTTGACACGTTGAAGTCCGAGCCCTGGGAGGAGGACCGCCACAAGGCAAGGATGGTGGTGCGCGGTGACTTGGAGAAGGACAGTGAGCTTCGAACCGACAGTCCCACGTGCAGCCAGCAGATGCTGTCTTTCACCCTGGCTTTGGCTGCGGGACGTCGATGGCCAGTTTTCGGTGGTGACATCACAGCGGCCTTTTTGCAGGGAGAGAGTATCACGCGTCAGCTCGTGCTTTCTTTGCCCAAGGATGGTGTGGAAGGCGTCGAAGAAGGCAGCATCATGATTGCCAACAAGCCCGTCTACGGCACCCGCGACGCTCCACGTGGTTTCTGGAAGAAGCTGGCCAAGACCGCAAAGAAGCACGGCCTGCGCGAGGTCCCCTTCGAACCGGCCGCCTATTCCTTGTCCAACAGCAAGGGCGAGCTTCTTGGACTGGTCGTCTCCCACGTCGACGACCTCCTATGGACAGGTGGGCCCGAGATGACCGAGGTGATGCTCCGACTTCAGCAGGATCTGAAATTTGGATCGCTTGACGAGGGCAACTTCACCTATTGTGGAAGGCTGATCACCCAGGAGGCCGAAGGGATCCGGGTGACGTGTCCCAACACCGCTGCCAAGGTCAGGGCGATCCATTTGACTGCTCAACGGCGCAAGCAAAGGGACCTGCCAGCCACCGAATCCGAGACGAGCCAGCTGAGGAGTGTTCTTGGCTCGTTGGGATGGGTTGGCCGGGTCTGCCGACCGGACATATCATATGAGCTGTCTGCCTTGCAAGCGGTGCAGAAGCAGGCTTCCGTGCAGGACCTCCTGGACGCCAACCGGCTGCTCTACTACGTGCAGAAAACTCCCGAGGCTGGTGTCTTCTACAAGTACGGAGCCGTGGACATTGACCGGGCGATCCTTCTCTCGGTCACCGATGCCTCCTACGCCGCCGACTACGATACGAGCAGCAGTGGACAAGTCTTGGGAAATCGCTCGCAGAGTGGACGACTGCTCTTCCTTGCGGACCCTAGCTTCTTGGAGAAGGGCGAAGGAGAGGTCTATCTCCTCCAACATCACTCGAATGGGATTCGCCGAGTTTGCCGCAGCACTCTTCAGGCCGAAACGCTCAATATGGTCTCCGGGCTTGAAGAAGCAGAGCACATGCGTGCTGTGATGTTTGGAATGCGACACGTGTTGCAAGGAGACTGGCAGGTTCGAGCAATGGACGCCGTCACCATCCAGATGCTCACGGACTGCAGAAGTTTGGAGGCGCACCTGCTGCAAAGTGGAATGGGAACCACAAGCGACAAGCGTCTTTCCATCGATATGAGTGCTCTTCGCCAGATGATCTGGCGGGAAAATGGTGAGGCCTACGGAGACCCGCTCAACACAGATGGCATCCCAGCTGGTGCCACGACGAAAGTTGAGTGGATTGAGACCAAATCCATGCCTGCTGATGCCCTCACCAAACGGATGCGCAGTGAACAGCTACACTTGCTGATGGCAAAAGGCACACTGAAGATCGACCGAGACCGCTCCTCGAAGAAAGCCGGCAGCAGACCGGTCTAAGGTCTTAAAAAGACCATGGATGTGAAAGCAGAGCTTCTTTCTTGTATAGTCCAGTAAAACCAGAAGCGCAACAGCTATGCATCCGACCTTGACCGTTAACTGAATGGCTCAAGCGAGCAAAACAACTATGTGCGCCAGTGCGGGGAAGCTTTGCATTTCCGCAAACCCTAAACCCGAAACCCTAAACCCTAAACCCTAAACCCTAAACCCTAAACCCTAAACCCTAGACCCTAAACCCTAAACCCTAAACCCTAAACCCTAAACCCAACCAAGGTTCCGTCCCTCTTCGTTCGCGCGGTTGAGTCCGCGGACGTCCGCCCCAAAGACTGAGCTGAGAGGCAGCTCATCGACCCCCCGCTGCCACTTTAGGGGTTTAGGGTTTATTGGGTTTAGGGTTTAGGGTTTAGGGTTTAGGGTCTAGGGTTTAGGGCACCCTAAACCTTGAACCCTACGAAAGAGGCTTTACTGGGGTTTTGGGGCATTGGGGGTGCGATTTCGGAGATCGGCCTGGCCCCCCCCCCCCCAGTGTCTTGAACCCGCCACTTCATCACCATTAGATCCTCAGCCCCCAACACCATAAGGGTTTAGGGTTTAGGGTCTTTCAGTGAAGCCCTAAACCCGAAACCCTTCACCTGACTGAACCCCAAACCCTAGACCCCAGACCCTGAACCTTTAACCAAAGGCATAGCCCGAATTCCAGCCCCTCTGGGCGTGGCCCGACTCAGTTTTTTAAAGCCCAAAAATTCGCATTGCACCACCTTGGCTGAGAGGCTTGGTCCTTGAACCCTGAAACTCGAAACCCTAAACCCTAAACCCTAAACCCTAAACCCTAAACCCTAAACCCTAAACCCTAAAACTCGAAACCCTATGAACTTCCATCTCTTGGAGCCCGCTCATGAAGGCCCTTCAAACCCCTGACCGCCCTTAGCAGCCCTTGAGACACTAAACGCTCTGAAGCGTAGACTTGTACATCGAGCAGCTCTCAAAATGTCCGCCGAAACGCCTTGGGATGTTCCCTCGTATATTCACAGTCCTCAATAGGGATTATCATAATAAGGGGTACTATCAGGGGAACGTCCCAACACATACCCTCAAACAATTTAGCCTGAACCCCAACTTCTTTCCTGAACCCGAAGAAGCCCTGTTGCAGAAGCCCTTTCAACTACTTGTAATTTTGCTACTTGTGTTGTTTTTAATTTTTATTAGTAGTTTATGTTTATGATTATTATTATGATGATTGTTATTGCTATTATTATTTCAAGGAGCCCTCAGAAAAAGACCATCAACACCCCGAAGACTTCCCAGGCCCACAGCCCTGGACCAGAAGCCCTAAACCTCAACGCCCTCAGCCGCTGCAGAAATTCATAGAAACACCAGGCCGACCGCAACTCTAGCGATCGAAACGCCAGGGTTTAGGGTTTAGGGTTTAGGGTTAGGGTTTAGGGTTTAGGGTGTAGGGTTTAGGGTTTAGGGTTTAGGGTTTAGGGTTACCTTGCTGGACCTTGCTGGTTCTCAGGAGGGATTCTTGGATAGAGCTTCCTGAAGCCCAGGGCTTGTGTAGGGGCCACCCTAAAACCCTAAACCCTAAACCCTAGACCCTAAACCCTAAACCCTAAAAATCCTAAACCCTAAACCCTAAACCCACGCCCTAGCAAGAACTGGCAAGTCTCAGGGGGCACAAGGGCTTAAGGCAGGGACCTCAGCCCCCCAACCATGAAACCCAGTTCCCTAAACCTCTAGGGTTTAGGGTTTAGGGTTTAGGGTTTAGGGTTTGGGGTTTGGGGTTTAGGGCTAAGGTTGGGACTCTGCAGACTCCTAAATATAGACCCCCAAGCAGTAGGATTCCCTTATGGTAAGGACCCCCCCCCCCCCCAATAAGTTACACCCTTTTTTCGTTAAACGCCATATAGGGGTGGGAAGAAGTACTAAGAATATTCCCTTTATGGCCCCTTTATAATTATACTACAAAAAACCCCCCAAACCCCGTTCCAATTATTCCCTTTAGTACACAGGTAGAGACGCGTTCAGAAGGGCTTTAGCAGGGTTTTGAAGGGTTTACTAGAAGGGTTTAGAGGGAAGAGGTTTAGAAGGCTGGGTTTAAAAAGGGTTTGGACTGGTTTTGAAAAGTGTTCAGAAGGACTTAAACGGGCTTAGAAGGGCTTAGAAAGGTTTTGGTAGGGTTTAGGGTTTATTGAGGGTGTAGGGTTTAGGGTTTAGAGTTTAGGGTTTAGGGTTTCGGGTTTAGGGGGCAAACGCATCGAATTCCGTAAGCCCCAAACCCGAAACCCTTTCCTCAGCCCGACAGGTTTGGGGGGTTTGATTGTCCCGAATGGGGTGTAGTCTAAACCCTAAACCCCAAACCCCAAATACCAAACCCCAAACCCCAAACCCCAAACCCCAAACCCCAAACCCCAAACCCCAAACCCCAAACCCTAGACCCTAAACCCTAAACCCTAAACCCCAAGCCCTGAGCCCTGAGCCCTGAGCCCTAAACCCTAAACCCTTAACCCTAAACCAGGGTATAGGGTCTGAAGCCCTAAAGCCTGAACCCATGCTTAGCTTTGGAACCCGCAGCGCTCAGCCCTAAACCCTAAATCCTACATGCTAGTCCCTAAACACTAAAAATTGTAGCCCCTAAACCCTAAACCCTAAACCCTAAACCCTAAACCCTAAGCCCTAAGCCCTAAACCCTAAACCCTAAACCCTAAACCCTAAACCCTAAACCCTAAACCCTAAACCCTAAACCCTAAACCCTGAACCCTAAACCCCAAAACCCAAACCCCAAACCCCAAACCCCAAACCCTAAACCCTAAACCCTAAACCCTGAACCTTGGGGTTACAAGGTAAGCTTCCACCTCCCAATCCTAAACGCCGTCAGCCTGCCCTCTTGCAGAACTCTCTGTGGAAGCAGTTGGGGGTCCGGAGCTCCAACACACCGAACCCCGAGATCCAGGCCCAATGTGAGGGTTTCGCATTAATCGTCAGCTGTGAACCCCTACAGCCCTAAACCCGAAACCTTAAACCCGAAACCCGAAACCCTGAACCCTAAACCTTAAACCCCATCAACCTTGCCGCCTGCACCATGCGCGGGCATCTTCGCTACTGACGCGCGGCCTGGGGCGAGGCAAGGGGGCCGAAGGTTTAGGGTTTGGGGTTTAGGGTTGAGGGTTTAGGGTTTAGGGGTTTGGAGTTTACCCTATACCCTACACTCTGAGTTTAAGGTTTAACTTCCGAGGGAGGCTAGTGGGTCAGGGTTTACGGTTTAATTAGGCTTGAGGCCCTGGGGATTTCTAAAGGTGTGTTCCTGACTTCCAGCTCCAAGACGATCATATAACCCCAAGTACGCATTATAGCCTACTTAGAGGACTTGGGGGACTTCGAGGGCTTCTAGGTAACGTTATACTTGGGGAGTTTCTGTACCTTGAACCCTAAACCCTGAACCCTAAACCCTAAACCCTAAACCCTAAACCCGGGATTGTAAGTACCCTGAACCTCCAAGTAGGCCTCATGTTCGGAGTGTTCAAAAGGTTTCGCTTCACGTTTGCGGGCCAGGCTTGTGGGTTTAGGGCTTACATGGGGGGCTTTTGGTGTCAGGGTTGCAGAACTGTAAATGGCGTTGAAGCCAAAGAACTACAAATCCTCAACCCTAAAAACCTAAACCCTAAACCCTAAACCCTAAACCCTAAACCCTAAACCCTAAACCCTAAACCTTAAAATCTCGAATAAACCCTAAGTAAGTTCAGGGATCCTCCCCCCCACCCGGCCCCCATTTTATTAGGGTTCAGGACCTAGGGTACAAAGGGCTGGAGCCCACGACCCGAAACCCTAGGCCAGGCACCTTGAGCGGTAGGAGGGGAGGAGGGCAGGAGGGGAGGAGGGTTTAGGGTTTTAGGGTTTTAGGGTTTAGGGTTTAGGGTTTAGGGTTTAGGGTTTAGGGTTTAGGGTTTAGGGTTTAGGGTTTAGGGTTTAGGGTTATATACAAAATTAAGTCGCCCCCCGAGGGTGTAGGGATTCGGGGCAACTCCTCTCAACGCCAAGATAGTCCTAAGCCTGAAGCCTTAAGCCCTTGAGCCTTAAGCCCTAAGCCCTGCCTAAACCTGGTTCCTTAAGTCGACACCCTAAGCCTTAAGCACTAAGCCCTAACCCCCAACCCCAACCCCAAGTCTAACCCCTAAACCCTGAACCCAAAACCCTGAACCCCAAACCCTAAACCCTAAACCCTAAACCCTAAACCCTAAACCCTAAACCCTAAACCCTAAACCCTAAACCCTAAACCCTAAACCCTAAACCCTAAATTCTTCTGCCCGAAGGGGCCCTCTGCCCAGCAAATGGGTCTTTGCCACTGCGGGGCAGCCTACCGGAGATGGGCCCAGGGGTTAGGGTTTAGGGTTTAGGGTTTAGGGTTTAGGGTTTAGGGTTTAGGGTTTAGGGTTTAGGGTTTAGGGTTTAGGGTTTAGGGTTTAGGGTTTAAGGTTTAGGGTTTAGGGTTTAGGGTTTAGGGTTTAGGGTTTAGGCTTTAGGGTTTAGGCTTTAGGCTTTAGGCTTTAGGCTGTAGGGTTTAGGGTTTAGGGTTTAGGGTTAGGGGTTTAGGGGTAGGGGTTTAGGGTTAGGGGTTTAGGGTTTAGGGTTCATGGTCTAGGGTTTAGGGTTCAGGGTCTAGGGTTAGGGTTCAACATTCCCTTATGGTCCCTTTGTACTGATGCTATGGCAACCCCCCAATATTCTATTCCAATTCTTCAAACCCCGCCGTAGAGATGGGCACAGGGGTTCCGAATAGGGTTTCGGGGTTTTAGGGTTTAGGGTTTGGGGGGTTGAGGTTTTGGGTTTTTGGGTTGAAGGGTCCTAGGATTCAGGGTTGAGAGTGCCCACTAAAGTTACCCTAAACCTCAAACCGAACCCCAAACCCTAAACCCCAAACCCTAAACCCAAAACCCTAAACCCTACACCCTGCTGACCCCGGACTCCATACCCTTCTTCTAGGGTCCTTAGCAGGGGCTGTG